TTTACCAGTATAGTTGTATGATCAATAGTTTGATCCTTAACCAGCTACTTTATCAATTTCTATGATATCGTAATCAGCATCATCTATTCGAACTACGCCTAACACTAAATCTCAGCTCGTAAAAAGGAAAATTCCATTAAATTTACTAAATATCAAATGAATATCTTTGGAACTCTTCATTGCACGGCTTTTCATTCTCTTTGCCCCTGTATCTTCTCCATTCAATATAGCTAAATGACTACGGCCTAGGGATAGTAAACCAGACATATGATATGTTAAACTGAGGTGTTCTGATCGTTCAATGGAGCGTTGATCATTGATCTGGACTATTTAAGAGCTGTGGTTTGCTGCCAACTTTCAATGACGATGCCAGCACATCGCTCTGGAATCTACATATTCGTTGATCACATTTAGGAGTACGGCTAGGGCAGTAGGGGGTGCAGAAATAAATATATCTTCAAAATGCTTCCCATTTATAGGCTTCTCTGCTGACCCATACAATTTTTAATGAAGGCTATCATCCCATCTCAATGAGACGATACTCGTACGGCAGTTTTATTTTTTTGCACTTTACGATTTAGTTTTGGAGACTAATTTCCTTTCTATAAATGCAGATCACTGCCAGGAGAGTTGCTCGCATCAGTTCTGAGTGCCGATTGCATATAAAGGAGGAGGCCTATGTGAATTCATTTAAGCCTCATTTGATGGACCTGGTGGTCGCATGGGCCGAAGGCGCGAATTTTTCTTCAATCTGTCAGAATACTGCGCTCTTTGAAGGCACGATTATTCGCTCACTACGGCTTCTTGAAGAGCTCTTACGTCAAATGGCGAATGCAGCCAGATCCATTGACAATGCAATTTTGGAGGCCAAATTTACTGACGGTACCGTTTTTAAATTTATATTCATTTTGAAAGTACACAGCCAAAGATTATTATTTTTAATCTTTGACTGCTCACTTTGTGAGTCACTACCCAGAAGGAAACAAGGGATTTTTGATTCAATTTGCATTTATGGCTCTTATAATCCCAATTTTTTAAAATTTAGAGGGCAAAATTCCAGATAAGCCCTTGTTACTTATCTGCTTTGTATATTTGAATAGGGTTTTTGAATGCTCATCTTATTATCCCTGATCATGATCTATAACTACTCTTTTCAGAGTTTTGCAGCACTCCCTTCAATTCAATTAAAGCCGATTTTTTTATTTAAAAATATTATCCTTATCTAATGGAAGTATTTTCCATAGGAAAATAGGATAAATATAGAGCTTACTTTATTTAATTTAAGGTCCTTCATTTTTTTTCGTTTTAAAATCATTTATGGCTCAGCTATTTACGTTGCCTAATACTCATTTCATTTTAAATTTTCTTACTGCACATATGATATAATTGGATACTTGGATACTTATTTTCCAAAAGACGTAAATATCAATGGATTAATATGCATTTAGAGAATAAGGCGAATCCCCAGTTGAGGAAGCATGAGCGATTTTGCCCACATGTGAATTCTTCTCTAAAGACACAGAGAACACTTCTCCCTGTAGGCATATTTTTCGTCCAGAATACTCTGTATAACAAGCATTATTTTTTCCGCTAGTCCTTCTAAATTTTTCAGTAATAAATACATTATTTTAATCAAAAGTATCAAGACCAAGATAGTGTGGTCTTTTTTGTGGTCGCAGTCTCCTTCCGTTGTATAGAAGTTGTTTGATCTTGTTTTCGTAACTTGGTCATATTGGCAGGAAGACTTATAGGAACGCACCTTGTCCTGAGTCCATTGGGAATGTACCGCGTCCACAGTCCAACTTTGGAAATAATTATGCATACAATGGACTCAGGACAAGATGCGTTCCTATAAGTCTTCTTACCAATATGACCAAGTTGCAAAAACAAGGTCAAACAACTTCTACATTATTTTAGGTTGAAATTTTATATACTTTGCGTATACGCATCGGCTTTTTATATCTAATGTCCAATGCTTGTTCTCTTTTCAGCTATTCGCTTGATCAAAAGGGACATTGTTTTCGCTGCTAGTCTATACCTTTGATAGCATTGTTTGCGCTTGCCTCTGTAAACCAGCCGCTTTGCTTCACTTGTACAGACCTGTGGATCAACATTTGAACTACATTTGTAAATGATTTTGTTTTATGAAAAATATACGTATAAACAATGAAAACCACTTAAAGAATGTGATTTTCTTCGAAAACTATTTACTATAAGCCTTCGTCAAGTGGCCTCTAAAAATAGTCAAAAGAAATGTTGAAGAGTACAATAAAAAATAACCGTATATAATTTGAGGGAAGGCCAATGAAATGTTCGTATACTTGGCACAAGGATATACAGCCACTTACCTATATCATAGAGAGGGGGACGCCAATATCTATATATAGACTTTAACGTTCCTTCATTGGCTCTTAAAAGGCCTTATGATTATGACATCCTCATCCACAAGTTTTTTATTTAAGTCAAGGCAATGATGTGAATTAAAGTAGACAGACAGTTTGGAAAAATAAGTACAAAAGTTGGGTTTTAAAGAATCCACTATTAGTTTTGCACCAGTGTATCTTTCGTTTCGTTTGAAAAGGCAGACACCGGCTTCGTTGAGAGTCTATCGTCTTGCACGAGTGTATACTCGCCTCAGAATTGGCCAAGGTGGGTTCATCCTTTAGCATAATCTGGTTTTGGACTATACATGGATGGTGTACTGGTCGACTGTCATCCGCTTAATGTGTCGGTCGGACGGGTTGGTGTTTAAATGCACATATTATTTAGATAACAGCGATTTCTGCATTATAACTAGACATTAGAACAAGGAGATAAAATTTTTTGGTAAACTGACATGATCTTAAAAGAAGAACCATTGAAACACTTGGGGGCTTTAGTAAGAAATATTCATTTATTAAGTCCTTTTGCCTCATTAATTTAACTTTTGCCATTAAGTAAGTATTAGCTCTTGCATATTTTTTGAAGCCATTTACGGCGAC